TAACTCTATCTTTGCCTAGTTCTTCTTCCATTGAGAATGAGCATGTTGATGAACCTAGGAAAAGTAATAGACGGAGAATTGAAAAGGATTTTGGACTAGTTTTATTACTACCTTCTTGATTGAAAACTCTGATAAAAATAAACGAACATGTGGTTTCTGCTCTCTTGATTGATGAAGACCCTAAAACTTATAAAGAGGCAATAACTTCCATAGATGCTACCTTTTGGAAAGAAGCCATAAAAAGTGAGCTAGATTCCATTTTGACAAACCATACTTGGGACTTAGTAGACTTACCTAAGGGGTGTAAACCTATTAAATGTAAGTGGATCTTTAGGAAGAAATTGAGGCCTGATGGTACCATTGATAAATTCAAGGCTAGGCTAGTGGTAGTAGGTTATGCCCAAAGGAAGGACATTGACTATTTCGACACTTATTCTCCCGTTACTAAAATTGCAACAATTAGGACTCTAGTTGCCTTGGCTTCCATTTTTAACTTAGCTGTGCGTCAAATGGATGTGAAAACAGCCTTTTTAAATGGTAACTTAGAGGAAGAGATATACATGGAACAACCCGAGGGTTTTGTATTTCCAGGTGAAGAGAATAAAGTGTGTAAGCTTAAAAAATCCCTATATGGTCTTAAACAAGCTCCAAAACAATAGTATGAGAAATTTGATCACATCGTAGTAACCAATGGTTATGTGGTGAACACTTCAGATTCTTGTCTTTATTCGAAAATGTTTGGATCTGATTGTGTTATTATATGTCTTTATGTAGATGACATGTTAATCTTTGGTACTAATGTTAATGTGGTCAACGAAACCAAGAGGTTTTTGTCCTCTCAGTTTGATATGAAAGATTTAGGAGAAGTCGATGTGATTTTAGGGGTTAAACTAACAAAAATGGAACATGGTTTCTCAATGTGTCAATCTCATTATGTAGAGAAAACGTTGAAAAGATTCAACTGTTTTGATGTGTTGCCTGTAGGAACTCCCTATGATCCAAGCATACACCTTAAAAAGAATAAAGGTGATAGTGTGTCTCAATCTGAATATGCAAAAATCATAGGTAGTGTGATGTTCCTCATGAACTATACTCGTCCTGACATAGCCTATGCAGTTAGTAGATTGAGTCGTTACACTCACAATCCTAGTAATGAACATTAGAATGCACTTTATCATTTGCTTAAATATTTGAAAGGAACCATGGATTGGGGTTTGCACTTTAGCAAGTTTCCCGCCGTTTTAGAGGGATTTTGTGATGCTAACTGAGTGACAGATAACGATGAAGTGAGTTCTACTAGTGGTTATGTTTTCACCTTAGGTGGAGGAGCTATTTCTTGGAAATCTGCTAAACAGACATGTATTGCTCGCTCCACTATGGAGTCTGAATTTATCGCCCTTGAGTTAGCAGGTCAAGAGGCAAAATGGTTGAGGAACCTGCTGGCGGATGTACCTTTGTGGGGCAGATCAAATGTTCTAGTCTCTCTACATTGTGATTCTCAGGCAACTATCGGAATTTCCAAGAACAGTGTCTATAATGGTAAGAGAAGGCATAATGGTAAGGGACATGAGAGAATCGAGAGAATTAGTAGTGGAAGAGACGCCTCTCGATTCTAAAGTCAAACAATTACACCTGCCGCCTAAAAAAAGGGATATATCTCCCTCTAATTATTTCGAGATATTGGGGGAAGCTGATAGTCTAGAAGGAAGTCAGTTAACAAAAATTGATCAAGCCCAATCCAACTTTGGTAACCTGGCTGAGAAATGGTAACCTGGAATTAGGGCTCTTTATTGGGTCCTAGTAAAGTAAGATCAGAACCGGTCAAGGTTCCAGAATTCAACAAAGGCAGTCGGTGGAGGCCCAAAAATAGGGCTGATTTTGTTAGGGCTAAAATCAAAAAGTGGGAGGATGGGTTTCAGAAGAAAAGTTTAAAAAAGCCTGTTCTACAATATTCCAGCGACGGTGAACTGGAGAATCGGAGAATTAAGCCATACCCACTTTTGTATTGAAATTGAGAACGAAGAAAGGCAAAGAAATTCTTATCGGCGATAAGGTGGATAGGGAGTCAAAGCCCTTTCCATACGGGCAAGTGGATATTGAAGGAGAGACCGATATCCCACTCTTTGGAGGGAGTGAATCAGAGTAAGAAAATTGTACACGGTCAGTTTCTTCATTTTGTTCAACGAAGTTGAATAAGGGTGAGGGTTCTGATGATGGGGAAGGATTTGTGGGACTCGAGGATTTAAGATTCCTCTCTGCACCAGAAAACCGTAATGAAATGGTTGATGAGGACCTAGAAGAACATAACCTCATCGAGTTTCGGTCAAGAACAGGCAATGAGCCCTAACGTGATGATTGTATCTCCGCTGGCATCTCTGGCTCCACATGACATGGAGGAGATTATGGCGGTTCACTGCGAAGCTGGGTGGTCGGCAGGGAGGTCGAGAAGGGATCACCCATGTCAAGAGGATGAGAACAAACTGCTCGCAAAATTAAATCAGGGATGTACAATGATGATTGGGGGTAAAAGTGGAATGGAGTAAAATTAGGTATGCACTTCAAAACATGAGACCAATTGACGGGTTCGAAGATGGGAACTAATGAAAGTGTCGAGGGTACTACAAAGACAGCTAGAAGAAAGGGCCAACCAAGAGAGAGAGTTGAAGAATCTGGAATTTAACGTTCAATACGATAAGAATGTTAAAAGGAAGGAAGTTGACAGGAAGTTTGTGGCAAGTATCTGACAATCCAGATTTAAGGAGTGGATTTTGTTGCCGGCTCTAGGTCATTCAGGAGGGGTTCTAGTAGTGTGGGATGTTAGAAGAATTAATGTAGTTGAAAGCTTTTCGGAAGAATTCTTAGTAACAATAAGGTGAAAAATGGAGTGTTGAGTCGGCAGAGGTTGTTCGAATAGAGAAGAGGAGAATTTTTAAAAAGGTTGAGGAGATTAATAAGAAGGAAGGTAGTTCCAAGTGGTCTTCGGAGATGCAAGAGGAAGGGAGGGTGTTAAAACAAAGACTCTTCAGCTTACCAGAGGAGGAAAGTTTGTCGAATTTATCATCTATTTTGGAGATCTTTTGCTTAATTTCAGGTTTGAAAGTTAATTTGGATAAGAGCATTATTTTGGAGATAAATCTGGAGGAAAATAGGCTATCTAGGCTGGCTAGTGTTGTTGGTTGTTCAGTTGGGTCGTGGCCGGTTAAATACTTGGGATTGCCCTTAGGCGAATATCCTTTGCAATCAACATTCTGGGATCCGGTGATTACTAGGGTGGCAAAGAGGTTGGATGGATGGAAGAAAGCATTCTAATTAAGAGGGGGAATACTAACTCTTATTCAGTCTATTTTAGCTTCGCTGCCTATTTATTAACATGTCGGTGTTCAGAATCCCTGTTGGTGTGACCGCAATAATTGAGAAGCTTACGAGGGATTTCTTTTGGGAGGGCTTCTTGGAGGATAGATCAACACATTTGGTTGCCTGGGAGCAGGTTTGCAAACCAAAAGAACTAGGAGGTTTGGGGATCGGTAACATAAGGAAAAGGAATGAGGCTATGCAAGCCAAATGGCTTTGGAGATTTCTACAAGAAAGGGATGCTTTACGGAGTAAAGTTATTGTTGGGAAATATGGCATAGCTCCAAACAATTGGGATTCGGGTTCAGCAACTCGGGTGACATTCAGATGCCCCTGGAAATCAGTTCAGTCAGTGGCTGATAATTTTTTCCATAGAGTGAAATGGAAGGTAGGGTCAGGCGAGACCATTCAATTTTGGGAGGATGCGTGGAGTGTTGAAGGACCTTTGTGCTTAAGATTTCCTGCTTTATACAAGATTTCTTCAGCCCAAAATCAGCCAATCGCCAATCTCGTGTTGGAACATGATATTTGAGATGGGAGTATCGGCTTGTGGGATTTCGGTTTTTCAAGGAATTTAACAGATAGCGAAGTGAGGGAATTTTCGAATTTATCTGCTATAGTGGAGAGGGTTAGGCTGCACGGTACAATTCAATACAGAAGGGATTGGGTGCCCGATCACAATGGGTTGTTTTCAGTTAAGTCTTTTTTCTCCTCACTAATAGGTGACAATTCAACTCAGGGGTTCATATTTCATGATAATATTTGGAAAACTCGTGCTCCTAAGAAGGTTCAAGTCTTCTGCTGGCTCATTGCTCTCAACAAACTGAGTACGCATGATTTATTATAGCGTCGGAATCCTTTTATTTCATTATCCCCAGGCTGGTGTTGCTTATGTAAGGAAGATAGGGAGACAGCTGATCACATTTTCCTTCATTGCCCATTTCCCAGAATATTTGGGCTGCTCTATAGAGAGAGTTTGGGTGTTATTAGGTCACGCCTAGAAGCTGCAGAGATTTATTAGTTTTCCCTTCTCCATCAAGTTTGAGCCAAAAGAGGATTGATGTTATGGAGGGCTACAATTTTAGCGGTTTTTTGGGGTATATGGTTGGAAAGAATTAACCGGATTTTTGAAGGAAGGAAGAAGAGTTTGTTCTATGGGATAAAATAAAGTATTGGGTTTTGCTGTGGGTTTATCGGGATAAAGACTTTGGGAGGCCTTTGTTTTCGGACCTTGTTAGGAGTTGGACTCCAAAATAAAGTATTGGGTTTTGCTGTGAGTTTATCAGGATAAAGATTTTGGGAGGCCTTTGTTTTCGTACCTTGTTAGAGATTTGGACTCCTTTTCTACAGTCCTGTCCTAGTTTTCTAGTTTTTGGTTTGTTTTTGTTTTGATTGTTCTGTTTGATGGATCTTGGTTTGGTGGTGGAGGTTCTCTCTTCCTCCCCACTCCAAGTCTCCCTTTCTCTCATCATTAGTGAATATTTTCGTTTCTTTTCAAAAAAAAAAAAAATATATATATATATATATATCAATCAGTAAGAGCACACGAAAGGGATCCTTTTTTTTCTTATGTTGTACAGAAATAACAAGACCCTTAATGAGCATCTGGCAGCACCAAATTTGAGAGGCATATTAATATAGACTCTTACCAATTTTTGAGCATAAGTATTCAGGTCATGTTGTTTGGTAATACCCTTCAACAAGTGGGGAACCTCATTCTTGAAAACCCTGCATTCATAGGGATGAATATTTAAGAAAGCATTCAATTTAGTACTAATAGTGATGACATGCACATAGAAGTCAAGAACAAACTTTTTCTTTTTTTTTTTTAATAAGATCAAAAACAGCGTTAATAATGAAAAGATTACATTACAAATGAAGAAGCAAAGATGGGCGAGTGATCCACCTACAACTGATTAAAGCAATAACGAAATAAAGTAAATATCACAAATCAAGCATAATGTACATTTTATCTCAGTACATCGTCCCAGCTTAACAAAATTAGGCATAATGGATAATGCTTAAAAGCTACATCTGCTGAAGCCCAAACGCTAGATACTTTACTTTCTCGAATAAATCCTCGAATGACATCTCTTTATCTTCAAAAATCCTCTGATTTCTCTCCTACCAAATGACCCAGAGGATAGCCAAACACATCGCACGACAAATTGTCTGGGCCTTCTTGTTCTTTCCAAAGCCGAACTAGTCTTCCACTAGAACCGCACTACTATTTGCTGGAAAGACCCAACTAAAATCTGTCGCGCCCAATAGCTTCGACCAGAGTCTCCAATCCCAGTCACAATGCAAAAACAAATGATCCATAGAATCTAAATTTGATCTGCACATTACACACCAATTTGGAGACAAAACAACCAGAGGTCGTTTCCTCTGCACTAAATCACGTGTTCAATCTTCTATAAAAAAAATAGTTGCCTGACCTTAATTCTAATAGGAGCACACGACTTCCAAATGAATTTATAGGGTTCAAAAAGAGGTATATTAAACCATTGGAATCACACCTCCACACTCTTTTATCACAGTAAGAATGTCTAGGAGAAAAAGTCCCCAAGGCTGCCATGAGATTTTCAAATTGAACACTCTCTATCATTAAGATTTCTACGAAAACCAAAATTCCAATTAATGATTGAGTCATCATCTCTAACTACTACATCTCCAATCTTCACCTCCCTCTCTGAGATTAGGCTATAAAGCCTACGAAAGATGATTGCAAAAGGCAAATCACCACACCACTTATCTTCCCAAAATCTAATTTTACTACCATCCCCCACTTCCCAACTCACCCTTTGAAGAAAAGAATTTAGACCTTGAGAGATAAATTTCCATGGATTCCTATGAAATCCTCTTCTTACCAAGTTAGAGTCCCATCCGTTGGAATGAAGCCCATATTTGCTTCTAATTACTGAGGCCCACAATGAGTCTTGTTCTAAAGGGAACCTCCATATCCATTTTCCCAACAAGGCTTGACTCTTCTTCAGTAAGTTTCCTATTGCCAAACCCCCTTCTTCTTTAGGCCGAGACACTATTTCCCAGGCCACAAAATTATCAACTCTCCCATTCTCTACTCCATCCCACAAAAATCTTCTCATTTTATCTTCAATGTCTCGGGCCACCACCACCGGTAACTTGAACAAAGATAGGAAATAGATGGGGATGCTTGCCAAAACTGATTGGATGAGAGTTAATCTCCCTCCTCTAGATAAGAAACCTTTTTTCCATGAATTCAATCTCTTGGATACCTTCTCCACAACCGGGTTCCAGAATTCCTGAGATAAAGGATTTCCACCCAAAGGGAGACCTAAATATATCATAGGACATGATCCCGCTTCACATCCCAATTCAAAAGCCAAGACCCGAATACTCTCCTCCTCCACATTAATCCCATTTACGATGCTTTTTCCCATGTTATCCGAAGGCTTGAACAATGAAAAAAATTTCATAATCGCAGTCATGTTTCGAACATTTTCTCTCGATGGTTCAAGAAGGAAAAAGGTGTCATCCGCGAATTGAAGGTGTGAGATGTGAATTTGTTCACTGCCAATCCCGAATCCTCTTATCACCTCCAAACGACCAGCCTTGTGCATCAATCTACTCAGCCCATCAACCACCAAAGTGAAGAGGAACAGGGAAATAGGATCTCCTTGTCTTAGCCCCCTCAAAGCTCCAAAACGACCCTCTGGTTTTCCGTTTATTAAAATTGAAAAATTGGCAGACTCTGGCCTTGATCCAGAAGGAGATTGGCTGGGACGGGGAGCCCGGGCCCTCGAAAATTCCCGCACCTCTCCTCCGTTTTTCGGTCTACTAAAGTTCCCGATGTGGAGCGAACGGACTAAGCCATTCCTTTGTCTTTGCTTTGCACTTCAGTCCCGGATCGACTATAAGTCTTCTTTGCTATAGCTTGACTACGTGATCGGAGGCAGCCCCCAATCCATTTTATCCATCCTCTACCAAAACCTTTTTTCCCCATCACAAACTTGTGAAAGTTCCACTTAACGTGATCATATGCCGTTTCAAAGTTAACTTTTACTACAAGCCCCTCCTTTCCCTCCACTCTATATTCCTCCACTATCTCATTGGCAATTAATACACCATCCAAAATCTGTCTACCCTGGATAAAAGCACTTTGGCTTGTAGAAATTGTGTCTTCCAAAACTGACCTTAGCCGGTTTGCCAAAACCTTTGCAATTATCTTATAGAGACTAGAAACCAAGCTAATTGGTCTGAAGTCCTTGGCCCTTCTTGAGTCATCCTTTTTTGGAATGAGACACGGGAAAGTGTGGTTGATATCTTTATTACCCACCCTATTCATATGAAATTCGTCCATTAGTCTTTTCAAATCACCCTTAAAAAAGTACAAACATTTTTTTATAAAACCCCATCGAGAAACCATCCGGACCCGGTGATTTATCCTTGTCACACAAGAACACCGCCACCTTGATTTCTTCCTCCTCAAAAGATCTCTCTAGCCAAATTGCCTTCTCTCTTGAAATCCGCTTCCAATTAATCCCCTCAAAAGACCATTGCAAGTCCGACTCCTCTTTATACAATTTCTCATAAAAAGCAGTAATTTCCCTCACCACTTCTTCACTGTTGTTCGCAACCTCCCCATCCTCCCTTTCAATCTTCGCTATTACACTCTTATTCCTCCTATTGCTAACCAAGTTATGAAAAAGCTTAGTATTTGCATCGCCCTCTTTCACCCATTGAGTTTTCATCTTTTGTCTCCAAGAGATTGCTTCCTTGAACACCACTTCTTCACGTTCATTCCACATCGATCTCCTTTCTAATCTTTCTCTTTCGTCAAGACCTCATGTTTCTTCCTTTCTATCCAAATGATCTATTTTTGCCATCAAGTCACTCATTAATATCCTTATATCGCCAAAGACATTTTTATTCCATTCTTCCAAAGCAACCTTTTTATCAATTTATTTCCAAACTGAAAACCCTTCCAACCCTCTACCTCCTCTCCAGCCCAAATCCTCCTACAGAACTCTAAAAATTTTGGATGAACAAGCCACAAATTTTCAAACCGAAAAGGCCTTGGTCCCTATTTCACCGAATTTGTATCCAATATCAAGGGGCAATGCTCCTATGAGAATCTACAGCCCACTATTTGTTTGACGCTAGGAAAATCTGCATACCAATTTGGGGATAAAATGAATATGTCCAACCTACTTTTTACCTCAGACTCCCTAAAATTGCTCCACGCTTTGAAGTCTCCTTGAATGAAAGCATCGAAATTCATCATACTCCTTGTACTTGTTGAAGGCGGATGACGCTCATGCGAGAATCTAATAACATTGAAATCACCCCTAGCACCCATTTTGAACCACAAATAACTCGCAATCCTGCCAATTCTTCCCAAAATTCATCTCTCTCCCCATAAGAAACCTGGCCATTTACTCCAATTAGCCACCAAAAATCCTCACCCCTTTGAATTTTTATTGAAACCGAAAAAGACCCAACCAGCGAATCCACAACCTTCACCGACCATACATCCCACATCAATAAAATTCCACCTGATCTTCCTACCAAGGGTAAACACACCCAACTTCTGAATCTCATCTTCCATAGACTTCCCACTACTCTCTCTTCCATTAATTCTCTGTCTCTTGTAAAATCACAATATCTGGGTTCATTCTTTTCAAATTGTCCTTAATAACCCCTTTCTTCCTACCCGACCCAATTCCTCTTACATTCCACGATACCACTATCATTTCACTTTCACTCCCCCATAACCTTCCTTTTCCTTTTTCCCAAATCCGTAATTCAACCCCCATTCCAGCCCTTTTACTTCAACGTGTCCTCTTCTAATTCCCTTTTCTTGGAAACTTTCAAAGTTTTCCTCCCTCTTCCTTGACTACTGTCACTCAAACCCCCTGAATTTAGAACTCAAGAACAAACTAAAAGCTTTAACTTAATGGATTTCATGTTTCAAGGTAGTCACAACAATTACACTCAACTCAAGAAGGACCTTTCATTTGAGATGAGTTAGTTATTAAATTTTATTATGGACATCTTTAGTGTAAACAAGTATGAGGAAGGAAACACGCCAGAATACTGCTTTTAATATTGGAACTTAATTGATTACATTAGGTATGTTCAGCTTTTTATATACACTAGTAATACCAAGAATATAAAATCTAACCAACTGTAACTAATTCCTATAGATACGTCTACTCCTATAATCTAGGGATCTTTCTATCTAAGTCCTGATTTTTCTACACTCCCCCTCAAGCTGGACTGTACAGATTGTACATGTTCAGCTTGTCTACAAACTTCTCAAACAAATATGTTGAAAGACCCTTCGTAAGGATGTCAGCCGTCTGTTCTGAAGAAGGGACATGTGTCACGCAGATGGTGCCATCTTCTATTTTCTCCTTTATAAAATGTCGGTCAATATCCACATGTTTTGTCCGGTCGTGATGCACTGGATTATGTGAGATATTGATCGCTGCCTTGTTGTCACAGTAAATCTTCAACGGAGACTCCAAAGGTTCACCAATTTCTTTTAACAAATTCTTCAGCCACAAAGCCTCACAAATACCATGAGCTAATGATCTCAACTCAGCTTCAGCGCTACTTCTACCCACAACTGGCTTTTTTTACTCCTCCAAGTTACTAGGTTCCCCCAAACAAAAGTGCAGTAACCAGAGGTTGATCTCCTGTCCTCTATTGCCCCGGCCCAATCAGCATCGGTGTATGCTTCA